TCGCAGGCTCTGTGACATGGGTGACAAAAGGCTCTCTTGTGCCCTTACAAAGCCATTTATCCTCAGCAATGGAAAGCTGTTGTCATCCTACAGGCAATGATGATACCAAGAATTTCAAACTTACAGGGAACAGCATTGCATTCCACCTTCATCACAGTCACATTGGTAGCAATCTTCTGTCCTCTCAATGTGTCCAAAGGGATACAGTTTTCCATTCCACACACAGCCTGCATAAGACAGCAGCAAAATAGAACAGGTTATTTAAGCCTCCTCCTAAAGGAGATGTCAACTCCTGAATGAGCTCCATGTGCTGGAATAGCACACTGAGCTATCGCCAGTTGCAGGAATATTGCTGCAACCACAAGCAGCCCAGGGGAAGACTTTGTTTTTCCCTTACTTTTAGCACCTTGCTGCTGGATACCCCTATTTCTGTTTTTGCACTGTCTTTCCCCTCCCTTGTATTTTGTGCCCTTCCTGGCAGTTCAACAGAGGGCCAAGTTACCACAGAGCAATCAGGTCAGAGGATCTTCCTTCTTCTTACCGTCTTTGGCCTCCCCTGGCCTACGAGTTTTCCTCCAGCAGTATGCATCAGCCAGGGTCACTAGGATGCCCATTGCAACAAGGAAAGCCAAAAAGCTCTTCTGTAAAAAAACACAGGTCTCATGCCATGCATTTTAATCCTCACTGATTTGCTCTGTTTTCAAAAGCTGTCACTGAACCTGAATCAAAATTAGAAATATCCTTATGTGTATATGAAAACAGTGGAAAAGTACGCTCCAGATATTTCCCTGCATTTTTCATTTAGGTGGGAAGATATAAAACGGCATGATATTACCGTGTCAGCAGCATCACTCCCTGCCAAAATACAGTCTCTGAAAATCACACAAAACTTCAATGGTATTATAAATTTGAGAGCCCTGCCAAGCTCTTGTCAGTGCTTCATTTATTGCCTTTGAGTCAGCTTTGGCTCTTTCTCTAGCAAATCTTTGTTAAGCATCCCATTCCTTCGCTTCTGGGTACAGCAATTGCTTCACATTTTGCAATGGAGAGGAGATCTCAGATCTAAATCTATTCCAGTAGGTTTTTTGACACAGGTGGGTGGTCAGGGAAGACAGAGATAAATGTGTGTCTTTGGGCAAAATTTGAGTGCTGTACATTGTACTTAGCATCACCTGAGCCATCTTGTCAAACCATGCAGACACAGGTTGGGACTTGACACAGAACACGCCTCCTTTTCTCTTGGGGGGCAACAGCATCTAAAGAGGCTTTCAGGTATGTCCCCTGGGACCTGCTGAACATCCAGAACTTCTTTAGAAAACGTCTGCATGACTTTGTAATGATTGTTTTACTGGAGCAGAGGGACTAGAGAAGCAGGAAAGAGGACAAATTTATTTTGATGAGTTGCTCCAGCTGAATAACGTAAAGGAAAAGTTTCAGAATAGCCGGAGACTGAGAAAATATGCAGGAAGTTATTAAAATTTTTCTTGATAGCATTTGCAGACTAAAAGGAAAGGATCTGAAATGAGTAGAGCTTTGCAAGTTGCTGTTCTGAGCTTTGGAAGATATTGCTGAGACCGTTGCTGCTTGAAACAGGGTTTAAAGTAGCAGTGAGAGGCTTGGTTTATTGAATCAAATGCCATAAGACATTGAAGGGCTCTGAGCCTCAGGGAGGAGGTGAACCAATGAGAAACTCCTCTGTCTGCTGTGGAAATACTTGATATTTTAATCCTTGATTTCCTCCTTTATTATGGAACATAAGACATTTAAGGTATAGTGAAAGCAAGGAAGAGGAGGGTTTATGGAGTGGTCTGGGAAGGGGGAAATGCTTCATTTTCATTGTGGTTCTGTGATGTGGAGTTCCTGATGCTTTAGGCTAGAACAGACACAGCTGTTCTCATGCTGAGTACCACAGCCAGAATGAAAGAAGATAAAGGGAAAGACTGAAACTCCTAAAGTGTGCTATTCCATGGTGCCTGAGTTAGGTGTTTGCAACAACACAGATATTCCATGCCATGTCACTCATGTCTTTATAGAAAATACAAAAAATTCCTCATGTGTTGTGCTGTCTTCTGATAATATTTTATCTTTTTTCCCCTCTAGCATTTTCCTTATGCTACTCCCAGAACTGCCAGTCACATGAGCTCAGACATGCTCATCTCTCTAAAGATCAGAATTTAAGACCTTCCACTGAAAATAAAGACAAACATAAGGGGAAGTCTCTGGTGTTCAATCAGGTGTCTGAATGTGCTTTATGCTGCAGCCAGCAAGTGATTTGTCAGCTAAGTTACAGAAACTTGGCAATAAAGCTTAAATACAGAAAGAAGCAAATGGAAATTTCTCCCCTCTTATGAATCAACATATATTACAGGCACTACAGCCTCCTCTATAGAACCTATGCCATTGCTGAGATGCTCATCAAAAAATTCCAATGCAAAGAACAAAATTCACAGTAATCTTCAAAGAGGTGTCTTCCTGTCTTTGCAT